CAATGGTGAAAAGAAACTAATGGCTTTTGCATCAAGATTGTTAAACAAAACAGAAATGAACTGTGCACAGAGAAAGAAGCTCTGGGAATTATTTTGGCATTAGACAATTCTATCAGTACCTGTATGGCCAGGAATTTATCTTACTAACAGACCACAAACCATTGACCACAATATTTTGGCCTCATACAGAGATTTCTACTCTAGCAGCAAGCTGTATGCATTGTTGTTATAAGCTCACACTTATACAATTAAGTAGCAGTAATCCAACTTACATGTGAATGATGATGGGCTCTCTAGATTACCTTTGCCAAATGAACCAACTACAAATAATCCTTATGTAGACATTTTCTACATTGAACACTCTGACAACAGCAGGACAAGTTAAAAGTACACCAGAAATGATACATTATAATCAAAAGTGATGGACATGGTACTTTGTGGTATAATCACTGGCACAACCTCAGAACTGATGCCAGATGTTACCCGAAAGCTAGAACTGTCTGTATAAGAAGAATGTCTCCAATGGGGAATGAAGGTTATCATTCCACCAGAGCTAAGGAAATGTGTGTTAAATCAACTATGTGAGGATCCCTGTGATATTATTCAGAATGAAGGAGATAGCCAGAAGCTATTATTGGTGGCTTGAACTCAACTCCAAAATTGAGGAGAAGGTGGGAATATGTGCAGTTTCTGCAAGAGTGGTCAACATGCCTCCATTAGTGCCATTACACCCATGGCAATGGGCAGAAAGGCCATGACAATGGACAGAAAGGCCATGGGAGTGGACAGAAAGGCCCTGGCAATGGACAGAAAGGCCACGGCAATGGGCAGAAAGGCCACAGCAAAGAATCCATATTGAATACGTTGGTGGACGTTTTGGTGGGTGAATGTATTTCATAATGGATGACCCACATACTAAGTAGCTTGAAGTTGTCATCATGAAGATGACACCTTCAAAGAAAACCTTTGAAAGATTGAAGGAGATCTTTGTGAGGTTGGAACAACTTGTTAGTGGCAATGGTCCACAGTTTATGTCACAAGAGTTTACAGACCGTCAAAAGCAGAAAGGAATTCAACATAACAAGGTGTACAGCTGGATGAACACAGCAGGCAAAGCAGCATCAGAGGAGCAGGAAGGCTGACGTTTGGCTGACGTTTGGGGCCTAGACCCTTCTTCAGAGAGAGGCCTGAAATGTCAGCTTTCCTGCTCCTCTGATGCTGCTTGGCCTGCTGTGTTCATCCAGCTCTACACCTTGTTATCTCAGATTCTCCAGCATCTGCAGTTCCTACTATCTCAGGAATTCAACATATCTGATCAGCTCCTTATAACCCAACCACAAACGGTTTTGCAGAAAGTTTGTTCAGACAGTGAAACATTTCTCAAAGGTTACTCGACAACAGGGATCACCATCCATTTTTTGTGAACATTCCAGAACACAACCCATTCAACAACTCAAAAACTCTTCAGCATTGCTCATGATAAAACATCAGTCATGCTTGGCATGACTTGTTGAAACCATCTAAGACTAAAGATAGCTTGCATATTTACTGTGGTATTAATGATTGGAGATGTCAATATTTTCATTGCAGGAACCTTCGATGTAAAGGGGCTGTGTATTTGTGCTAGTATGGTGGACTGTCACTTTAAGGGCCTGATCATGTGATATAATGATGACATTATCAGCTACTTAGGGGGGAAAACAGCTTAGTCAAACTTTGCTGCCTGTACAGTAAACATCTTCATAATAGAACTCCTGCTGTTAAATACTCTGGCCTCCTGGTCCTTCTAGCTAACAGGTCACCTCAGTTTTCTTTTCTCAGGATGTAAGGGTTGTAGCCTGTCAATCTTTGCCTGATAATATAAACCATATTTCTGGAAGTATCCTTTTTAAATCTTCTCTGCACCTTCTCCAATGTGTCTATTGCTTTTTTATAATGTGGCAACTAGACAGCACAAAGTCCTTCAAATGTGGTCATATGAAGATCTCAAAGAGTTGTGTGGCTAGAGGAGGTTGCAGAAGGAAAAGAAGTGAAGCCATGGACAGGTTTCAGAACAAGAATTTGATTTCTTAAAATTGAGGAGTGCAGGACCAGGAGCCAACGTGGACAAGCAAGGAAGGATGAACTGGACCTGATGTGAATAAAAACCGAAAGAACTGCAGACGCTGTAAAACAAAGCCATGTCTTCACTTCTTTTCCTTCTGCAACCTCCTCTAGC